ACCCCGAACCGAACCGTTGTCATCCGTACATATGACAATGTGCCGGGCAATATATGTCATGGGATATGTCGCGTGGTATGACAAAACCAAATTTGTTCGTTTACCGTAAAATTGTAATCGTTTTGTCAATATGATCCGATCAATTACAAGATATAAATATGTATCAATCTCTTTTACGATTTATGAGTACACATTCGCCAAGGATTTCGTTTCAACTTAAGTGAATCAAATGTAAATCATAATTTTTTACTATCTAAAAGTGACTAATTATTTATTAATCATTCACAACCTTTATATGGTTCTTGACATGCCCGTATGATATAGTATTAGCGATCATTGGCGGAGAAACATCATCAAAGTATGACCGTTCTCATATAAAGTACTATAATGACCTCAAGTCGAATGACCAATTCCATTATCGAACGTTAGAGATTAACCACCGACACTCAAATAGTTATCCATATGAAATCTCTCTAGTGAGTCTCAAATGTTTTGTTATAAAACAAAATATCAACATGTTCATTTAAATGTCACCATACTTTAATTTGTGAGATCAGCTACTTATTTCACATGTAAAAAATGTCGCACGAGATATCTATCTGTAATAATGATATAAGTATCTCAATATTACTTACGACAATGGATGATTTAATATTCAGTCATATGTAATTTATGTTTCACNGAGATCAGCTTCTTATTTCACATGTAAAAAATGTCGCACTTGATATCTATCTGTAATAATGATATATGTATCTCATTATTACTTACGACCATGGATGATTTAAGATTCAGTCATATGTAATTTATGTTTCACAGTCACAATTCATTGTGATTAACCAATTACTAAAATTTGAATACACGGATTCTATTATTTAATTTAATTTAATATTAATTAAATAATAGATTTTCCATAAAAATACATTAATTATATATTAAAAGTACTAATGTCCAAAGTTGATTGAACTTAGGACATAACATTTACATTGAACACCTTGAGATCGCTACATTGCATAGGAGAAACTATTTCATATGCTCGAACGAGAAATAAATTTGAAAAGTTTGTAAATGTCATGTTGTCAACAGATTGTCGTCTGATGTATTGTTCAACCTCTAATATTGATAAACATCTTCTCAATCAGGAACATGAATACATGATTAAAAGATTGCTTCATCTTCGAATTGAGGAAGATTGTTTTGAGCAAGAGAAGGCAATAAATATAAAGAGTATGCTCGGAGAAATATAATAAGTAAAATTCTAACTTATTCTTATAAGTATAGTTCAATATGAAACATGACATGTCAATATCATATAACATAATGGGCTTATTGGCGTAATACCCCCAACCTATGGACCTATTATCAAATACCCCATTCTTCCTACTTTTTCAAATTGTAGAAAACCCTTCTATATGACCTTTGAGGTGCGGAAGACCCCATTTTCTTCAATTTTTCCAATATTGTTTGCGAATAAAAAAATAAAGAACTAATTTGAACAGTCATCCTAAATTTTTTTAAAAAGTAATAACGAATTCCAAATAAATAATGAAAAATTAAAATAAAAAATCTCTCTACCCCACCTATCCCCTCTTCCCACAACCAAAGCCTGAAAGCCGTCGTCATCGAAACTCACCACCATCTCCCTTTTCTTTCTATTTGAGTAACACTTCTTCAAAACCCCAATCCCTAATCCCCAATCTTGAAACTTGAAATTCGAAGAACAAAATGGATGATTGGGAATTGAGTGCACAAGAATTGGTTCCCCTTGAAAGAGATGCCCTCGGGCAATTGGTTGAGCATAATTCCTCTTTCAATGTCGACGCCACTATTACAGTAACAGTTACCTACCCTAAAGCCTCATCTTCCCACCCCACTTTGACCCAAGATGATCTCAACAAACTGTCTATTGATAAGGCTGAGGTGTTGAGAAAAATTGATGAAGAACGAAAATAAAAGCAGCAACAAGAAATCGCCAAAATGGAAGGTTTGAAAATGATTATGAATCTTTATCGTCAAACGATATTTGTCATGTAAATATTTGAGGGCTTTATGAAAAATAATTTGTAAGAGTAAACAATCCTTAATCCAAGTTTGAATCAAGCAAACAAAACTTGAAAAAAGGACTTAAAGAACAAAATTATAAAAATTTAGTTTGATCTTAAATTTTGGATGTAGTGGAATCAATTTGATATTTGCGATATATTTTCAATCATGACCATCACTCATATTTATAGAATTACAATCACCACGCACAAAAATATGTAAAAACCAAGTCAAAAGGTTGTAAAACCCTTCAAAACGACACCAAAATTCAAAATCCCAACGGGCAAATTTTAACATGTCGCCCGCCCAATTTAACAAAATAACCATTATAATTGCAACACAAGTCTGGGCGGCCACTCGCCTTAAGCCCAACCCATTTTTGGGCCTTCAACGTTTTTTACCTCATTTTGTTTTCGTTTATTTTTCTCGTGATTAACCATTTACGTCAGTTCCAAAATCACTCATCTTTGTTAATTTGAACAATATCAAACATGACGAATATTTTAAGAGTGGTATGGTTCTTGGGCTGCACACCGGCTCTACTACCACCTTCGTAGTAGCCAAGAGTTGTGAGTTAATTACGCTCGATGAGCTTACTGATATTGTGGGTGTGCCTACCTCGGAGAAGACTTAAGAATAAGCTACCGCCTTAACATTCCATTGGCAACCCTCGATGCCCATCCTCAATTGGGCCCTTCTGAGCGAGAAGATTGTCGAGGTTGCCTCGAATAAGTTTGTGGTTGTGGTGGATGACTCGAAGCTAGTGGGTTGTTTTGAAGGGTTGTATCTGGCAATGCCCGTGGAAATAGTACAATTCTGTTGGAAGTACAATTTGGTGAGGCAACAGGAGTTGTTCAAGGAAGAACAAAGCTCAGATTGGAGGGTGATGGTTACAGGGACAGTGGTGGTGCTAGGAAGAGGGTGGGAGGAAGAGAGATATATTTTTATTTTTTATTTTTAATTATTTATTTAAGATTCATTTACACTTTGTTGAAAGTTTTGGGACTATAATTAAAATTAGTTCATTATTTTTTTTAATTCTTTTCTTTGTTTTATTTGAATAAAAGGATATATTCATCATTTAATAAAGAATTATTGAGAAAATAGAAGAAAACGAGGTCTTCCGCAACTTAAAATTCATATAGAGGATTTTTTGTTAATTTGAAAATGCGGAGGGTATTTGACAATTAGTCCTTGGAGGTATTACATCAATAAGCCTAACATAACGTGTGCTACAACGTTTATGGGGCCTAATATTAGTGGGAAATTATTGAAAATACCCAAAATTCAAGAATAGCGTTTACAAAATAGCCTTTGACTATTCAAAACTTTGAAACTACCTAAAATACCCCTAAAAATAATAATTGCATCTAAGTCACTATCATATAAAAGGAATACAGTCAAGTCCTATAAAAAAATTATTATCATTAAAATGATCGATAAAACTTATAAAAGACTCAGATTTAAAAGAGGATCATATAAGATTAAGAAAATTATGAAAAAACAAAAAAAGAATTTGAATTTGAAAATG